ACTTCAGCCGACCTCAGTAAGCAAATGATATAGTCCTACTGTGGGAAAAAAGAAATAAAATATTATTTCTACCAATAGCCTGAAATGTGTTTAGCACCTGAAAATTTAAAATCGAACTTCAGAACTTGTCTATATTGAAGTCTACACTAACAGTACTCAGAAATTCCGTTGAGCACGTTGAACACATCAATCAACTGATTCACATCCGTTCAGCTAAAGTGGCAAGTGATTAAGTTTCAGTACGACTAAAGAAAGCCTATTTGCGTTTCCCTACCAGGTGTAGTAGTAGGTAGATACGTACGCCCAAATGCTCTCATACGCGTTCAGAGCCTCTGCCCGAGAAGTCATATTCACTGCCATCACGCGGCAGCGGTGTTCTCACAGATGTGAAAGGGTGTAAGTGAATATCCAGCGCTTATGACCAGATTGGTGGATACGGAGGGTTCACCCAAGGGAGTTGGAAAACCCTGATTCCAAACCAATGGTCCTCATGGGCTCTAGGTTCCAGATGAAACCAATGACATATGAACCTTTTGATCACTGGCAACTATGGGAATGTAGCTCCTGATGTTGCTCCACTACCTTGCGGATTAGACTTAAAGTCAAAGGCTCAGACAGTGATCTCTTAAGACAACCACCTGCTTCGCCCTGGACACCCGGGAAGTATCCCAGTCCCCACAAAAAAATGAACTATGAACTTACAAAATAAAAAGATTTTGAAGCTATTAATCAACCTTTCTGAGAATACTGAAGCTTTCCACACTGCAAACTTTTCAACTGGTTACTCAATTTATTGCTACTATATTGTTTATGTTGGTTTTACATATGAACTGTATTTTTATCATTACCATTCTCGCTTTTGTCTTTATCTTCACTTCACTCAGCTGCTTTCCATTGCTCAGACTTCTGGTCTGTCTGTACCATTTTGAGTCGCTAAACAGTTGTCTCTATAAAGCTGTCTCACAATGCGCCATCCAACACAGCTACCCTGAAACCACGTACACCGCCACCTTCAACGTTCGCACCTTGATGCACATCGGACGACAAGTAGGTTTGGCTAGGACTCTGAAAGCTCCGCCAGTGTTGTATGCTGCATCTCAGAGACCCACATATAAGATCCCAGTATAGTGCTTCGAATTAGTTCCCCATCTGTCGGCTCGAAGTGTTTCGTGTGTGCTTATCCGGGGACCCTATGGCATCGGCAATCCACCTTGCTGGTGTCGGTGTTGCACTAAGCGCTCAAGTAGAAGCTGCGTCACTCGACTGGATCCCCATCAACAGTCCTCTATGTGCCGTTAGGCTAGAAAATCCAACTCGAGTAAGAAGTAATCGACAAGAATAAGAATATCCCTTTGTCGTGTCTACTTATGCTTTAACAGATTGCAGCCCGGATGCAGCTTAAGATGAATTCTATCATCAACTTTCTGGACCAAGTGCACTTTACACATATCGTAGTGTTAGCTTGGGACTTTAATATGCAGATCAGGCGTCTAAACTCAGAGGAGAGTCATTTAGGTGGCCAATGGGGACTAGTTGGCTGCAGGTAGAATAATGCGGATCGTCTTCTGTAGTTTTGTGTTGATCACAACCTACTTCTAGTCAGCACCAACAGTCACCGCCATTGTGCTACTTGGCGTCCTTCATCTGCCGTTCAAGCCTCGACTCAAATAGATCACATTGCAATCAGCTATTAATTACGTGAGTCCATACAGGACTGTTGCACCACATAGAGTACTTGCCTGGACTATGATCATGCTTCAATGTGTGCTAAGCTCATCTTGCGTTTCGGTGGTCACCAAAATCATCATCCTAAACCAGTCAATGCCAGCAAATTAGTTGTACCTAACGTTGTACCTAAATACCAATCCCAGCTACATTTAAGGCTAGCTGCTGATCCTCCAAAAAGTGTAGACAAGCATTGGCTGCACTTGCAAGATACCATTAAAATAGTGAGTAAAGCCACTTGCAGCTTGGTAGAACGTCCCGCTAATAAACACTAGATCTCTGTGAGCTCCTTGCAACTCCTTGACGCTCATCGAACCAGTCCAGCAGACACTGAGTACAATGGTTCGCGTAAGTCTTTTACTCGAAAGACTACACAACGTTTACGCAGGGACCCTGAGGCTTGGTGATCAGAACGCACCAGTGAGATGAAAGCAGCAACTGCATCTGGCAATTGTCGGAAGCTGTTGCAGTTCATCCAGTTCACTGGCAGCAAGAAGCCAGGTGTCAGTGAGACGGTCTGTGAGGTAGATAGTACGCCAATAAACAATCTTCAAAGACACCTGGAAAGCTGGACGGAGCACTTCGAAGAGTAGTTCAGCTGGTCCACGGCTACACCATTGTCACCTTCGGTGTGCCATGTTTCCATGGTCAGTTAACATTGACCCACCTAACGAAACTCAGATCCATAAGAAACTCCAAGTTTTGAAACGCCACAAGGCAACCGGCCCAGACAACTTACCCCCTACTATTTTTAAGAATGGAGGAAAGACTTTAGTCAGCTCCCTGACTAGATTGTTTGAGAAGATATGGAAGACTGAGAGTGTTCCTTCACTCTGAAATAAAGTCATTGTTGTGCCCATCTTTTAAAAAAGTCTACGCAATATAAGTGACAACCAACGGGGTATTAGTCTCTTACCAGTAGCGTCGAAAATATTGACTGCTATCATACTTCGCGTTTACTTTCGCTTTCATCGAGAGGAGACATCGGCCAATTGGCTTCCCGAAAGCTTTCACCAACTGGCGTCATTTCGCCTCTCCGACTCCAGCGAGGAATAAGTTTGTTTTCATTTTTTATATTTTGTTTGTGCTTTGAAGTTTCTTTAGCGGTTAGATTTGTTTTAGGGGGTAGGGTTGCTAGCCCTATGTCCAACCTTCCCCCTTTACCCGGGCTTAGGACCGGCTAGTAACTAGTGAACTAGTTAACCCTAACCAGGCGACGAGTTGAACGTCCGAGGGTAACATGGAGGAGATCGTGCGAGGAGGAAATGCGAGCTTCTGGGCTGTCGTGGGACCAGGTTCAAAAGATCTCAGAGAACAGAGGTCACTGGAGACGTGCTACTGAAGCCCTATGTTCCATTAGGAACCCAAGGGACTAATAATAATAATAATGATAATAAAATCATACTTCGCAGACTTTGCAAAACACGTGAGGAAATAATTCACGAGGGGCAGGTCAGGTTTCGTTCAGGTCACATATGCACTGATCATGCATTTACCCTCCCTCAGATGCTTGAACATCGCCACATGTATTGCATGCCAACAAACGCTGTGTTTCTTGACATCAGGATTGCCTTCGATTCGTTGGACAGAACTGTATTCTGGAACTGTCTGTTGGAGAGGGGTGTGCCTGAGAAATTTTTTAACTTCTTGAAATCCCTATATAATAACACCTCAGGCAGAGTGACGGCGCACAACCACCTATCTCCATTGTTCCAAACAGGCAATGGGGTTAGGAAGAGTTGCCTGGTCCCCCCATTTATCGTAAACTTAGCTATCTATGACACTCTTGAGACAGCTCTCAAGGAAGTGTAAGATGGTCGTGTAGATCTACTACCCGGAGAACGGCTACTCTACCTCGAATATGAGGACGATATCGTCTTACTGTGAGATAACACACAATGGCTGCTCAACTCGCACTTAATCAGTTGGTGATTAGTGTCCGTAACTATGGTATGTGCTTTGCATCATCAAAGTGCAAAGTACTCTTACAAGATCGGCAGGAGCCTGTGCCTGCACTCACCCTCCGTGGTGAGACGTTGCAAGTAGTCAAAAAGTTCGCGTATTTAGGTAGTTGTGAGAGTGCTGGTGGAGGTGTAGTGAAATTAACAACCACATATTGAAAGCCAGAGTGGCATACGTCAATCTGGGCAACCCTTGGCGTCGTAGCGACGTTAATCTGACCGTAAAAGATCGGGTTTACAACGCTTCGGTACCAGCACTTCTTTTCTACGCCTGTGAAACCTGACCTCTCCGAGCTGAGAATATGCTACGACTCCGTGTGTTAGGTTATCGTTGTCTCGTAGGATTGCTCGTATCCGGTGGCAACACCATTTGAGCAATTCTGAGGTACGACAGCGTGTGTTTGATATGATGGAGATCGTCATTCAATAAGTCGAGTCATCTGGAAACACTGGCTTCGGTGGCTTGGACATGTATTACGCATGCCGTCCGAACAGCACGCACGTCATTTATTGTTTGCTACCCGTGAGATTGGATGGAAGAAGAGGAGGGGTGGTCAGTGTATGACGTGGCATCATGGGATGAAAGGTAGCTGTATTGGGTTAGCACATCGTGCATCACGACTCTCTGGGTGGAGTCTAGAAATCATGCAACTCAGTGACTTGAGACGTTATCAGATATGGCTCAGAATTGAAACCAGTGGCGGTCATGCTGTAGCTTCCTCCTATCTTCTGCTGCTGACAAGTAATGTGTTCCGTTTCAAATGTACCTTACTGGACTGCCCTTCTAATCATTCTACTCTCATTGTTTTATTTTTATCCACTTCGCTTCTCTTTCTGTCTTCATAATGTTGCTTCGCGTGAAGCATTTCTTGATGCCCTTGCTGTACCACGTTTGTGTTCTAATAAATCTAATAAGAACTAGTATTTAAGAGCTGAGTAAAGTTAATAACAGTCAACTTCTCTCACTATATAGCTGTAAAAAGTCGCTGAAATTAGAGGTTTTTGGAAGTATTCAGCTGCCGGCTACTTACAAAAAATGCTCACAGCTATCGAGATACAGAGTCAGTAGCATGTTTGACGTAGACTTTTAAAAAAGAAGCTAGGTGAATCACTTCACCGAAAATGTGGTATGTGCAATAATTACACATGTCAAACGATTGCCTATCCGAATAATTACTGGTAGCCAATGAATCCAGAAACGTGAAGATATTTTCAAAGGTTAATGATGAACAAAATAATCTAAAATATTTCAAATGTTACCAATAAAAACGGGTTTTCTTACTGAAAACAATACTAAACATATAAAATGCTCACTTCAGTTCATGCACCGAGCCATTTTTCCGTTGATAGTACACAACAGTGTCAGAATCAAGCAGATTTTTTGGGACTTCATCAAATAAACCCTTTTCAAAGAAAAGTGGAAGTTCGTCTTCTATTTCTTGATTCAACTTTAATAATCGATCCATTTTTGCTTCATTAGGAAGCTTATTAGATGACTGGTCACTGTTACCTTCATTGAATAAAAGTATAAGATCTTCAAAAATTGGATGTTCAGTTCCCTTCTGCTTGGGCTTATTTTCAATAGACGTCATAGTATTATTATGCGCCATAAAATTGTGATATAAAATCCCAGAAGATAAACAGCCAAGAAGAATAGGATATTTTCGTATTTTATGTAATGAGTCTAATTCTTTTAGTGTACTTCGCGAATAGCGCCGGAATGGAGTCAGCCAACGAAACATGATTTGGTTATTCCTTACAAAATAGTAGAAAATTAAACAATATTTGGAGTATAACAGTAAGAGTAGGAATACAAGTCTGTTTTAATAAACTATCGTAACAAATCTACTAAGATTGAATTTGTGTTCCTAAACAGAAATTTTATGACTCAGTAACAAACTGAAGTAACCCAAGATATCACTGCACTATCTAGTACACGTATTCAAAAAGTTTCCTTCCTGCAGGCTTCATCTAACAACCTGCATCTTGCTAAAGATATCACATCAAAGTATAAGGACTGCTTACCATTACACTAGATACTGAACTGGTCAAATCATTCTATTTCCTTTAGTATTGCTGAATGATGCGAATAGCATTCACTGAACAACAATACACTATCACTTTAGTTGAAGTAAATTTTTTACAGAACCAAGTAAAGTATCTTTTAAATTGAGAAATCTGAGGTGTTGTCGTTCATAGGTTTGTCCCACTGAATCTACTAAAGGGTAGCAGGTTCGAACCCAAGAATGTCTTGACAGTCACGGGGCACTTTAAGCCGTCAAACAAATAGGTTTAGGCTATTGTCTAGTACACGAACTACAGTTGCACCAACAATTTTTATGGGTTAGGGTTTCCGATAGTCTACCTACTTCGATTCAAGTGTCCAGATAGAATTTGGTATCTGAAACGAATTACATAAGTGTATTTATAGTATCCATAAGTACGATATATGCTTCGAACTATCAATATTTGTACAAGATTGTCAGGAATTTTCGTCTGCATTCACTTCTCGTGGTCGAACTTGGAAAGTAGCCGTGCATCTGAAAAGTGTAGGACGTGTTCCAGTAAAATCAATCAACTAAGATTATCGACCTAATCAACTGACTTGCCTATCTTAAACAAAACTACGCTTACCCTCGCAGTGCTCATTTAGTGGTTCTAACTAGTTCGAGCAATGTTACTCATACAGCAGTGTTCGAAAATCTTGAACTTCCTAGTGTCCTATACTTTTAATAGTCACCTTTTGTAGTCATCGAGAACGCCAAAGCAAATTGCTGTACACTACAATCAACCATTAGGAAGTAGTTTAATGAATAGCCGTTGATCAAGTTAGTGGGAACAATTCGAGCCCTTCATATCCACATTTAAGTTTCATGAAACACTAGACCATTGGGCCTGACATGACTTTTAAAGTAGGTGATACGGCAAACGCGCTCAACCACTTCACCCATTATCAAATAGGCTACCAATATAGACCAATCCGACCTCAATAGCTTGCATTTAGGAGAAAAATTCACCCTAAACATCAACTTGTCACTCAGTGTGTTCAGAGGACTCAATATCTCTTCCTAGTACGAAAATATTGTTTGTACACTCTATGTTCCTGAGAAAATCTCCGGCAAGGAGATAAGCTGTTAATTCAGAACAGAGCAATCCAAATAAACAAGTATGTAATGCGGTTAAATATAAATCGAGGATAGGTATCCTTAACACAGCCAAATAAAAGGCAAACTGCAGGCTCTGACGATTAATCAGCGGAGTATTTATCAATATGGAACTTGATATTACTGTGCAACGGTCCAAGTTGCAAAACCTTACACGTTCCAATACAAGTGTTCTATTATACAGCACTTAGTTCGGCGATATGCATTCCGTCCGGTGAGAAAAACTGTCAAAAGACCTATCGATTGACATTCACATACTATGGTCAGGTTAAATATGGCTGATGCCGGACACAAGCACAAATCATTGGGGTCTGGAATCAAAAGAAAAAGATTTGGTTGTTCCAAACATGAAAACATTTGACGTGTTTATCGAGCTTCAGTTGAGTGTACAATAATAAGGGGACGTAAAATTTTAGATACTTTGTCGGTGAAGCTAATTTACTCGTGCTCGTCACTAGAAAAAGAATGGACAATCAGCGATTGAGACGTCAAAGAATTAAGTTTAACCCATTTTATCTAAAATCTAGATGAGTCTAATCAATAATCACAGGTTACTGTCCTGAAACGTCTTTCACGGCAGTGCATCAAAAGTGACCCTTTCTCTTTTTGAGTTAACTACGACCTTTTGAACTTAAATAACAGTTAAAAGACTTGGCAACGTTTCACCAACTCTAAAACTGCATAGTGAACACCTGAGATGTAGCTTGATGTCAGATCAACTATTCTGCACATCACTCTAGTCTTTTCTGCTGTAAGTGGATTGTTAGCCCATCCTTATCCGTTTTTGCCTCACCAACTGTCAAATGTTTCACCTATCCCCTAATAGTTCTAAAAGACTCACTAATATTGTTGATTGCCACTATCACCATTCTTTCAACTTTCTCGACCTACCATCACCTTACGGCCACCTTACGCTAAGGCAACTTCGAATCATCACTGCGCCGTTTTCTTGATTGCGTTTCCGTCGCTATTAAAATACCCCACATTCACTCGTAATTTCAGACAGCTTTCTGACTTTTACTACCCTCATTGCTGCTTTTACAGCAGAACGCAGATAGTTCCATTTAACCCCAGCATGAATAACTGTTCTTTCTTTAAAGGGGTCTTCACAATTTGATCTCAAGCTGAAATAGGAAGTCTTAGAAATGGTACACACACATGTAAGATTGCGAGTTAGTTGATGGGTCATTAGATATCCGAAGGGTGGGTCGTACAGGCCTAGCATATTTGTTGGATGACATCGACTTAATAACCATAAGCAGGTACTGTACATCTTCAAACAGCATGCACCCATGACCCGGGGTTTCAGAGTTCCGATGTGGCTTGTCATTTAGTTTGAAAAAAGGCGTAATCATTAAATGCTCTTGTGCATGGTTTAATAGTAGTTCCATGAGTAATATTTTGCTAACACATCGTAAACACAAGCTGAAGAGTTTAAAACAGTTCAAAGCCACTAGCATGAAGATATGAAAAAACCTTCTAGAACGAAGATGAGGGTCTATGGTGGCTAGAAAAGAATCGGAAGCTGCTGGATTTATGATAATGGTTGACACTTGTCAATTGCCAAAGCCATGAATATTACTATTTTTCCACCTTAAAGAGAAAGTAGATTATTTTCATTTGGCTTCAGAACCCAAAGGATATCAGGTTGAGACTGGTCATATATGAACTTGAGCGTAGAGCATATTTTAATACGATCGTATCCACTTCCGTAAAGAACTTTATCACTGGCGACGAAAAGCCAAAGGGTAAATGCCTGAAGCACACAAAGCTTCAAGATATAATCCATGGTAAATTTTCTCTTCCTATTAAGAGTAGCACGGTTAAAGTGCTGGCCACTATAGGGGAGCACTATTGCTATCACACCCGTGTCTATTTATTAGTAAAACTTCTTCGGATTCTCATTACATACTAATAAGTATTTACACTATGAACGAAGTTGTCTTTGTTCTTAGTACCACCCAACTGACCCTCGTAGCAAAATGAAATCTTAAAGGACAATCCTAGCAAGCGTAGCTCGTTCGGTTATAGCGATACGCCACCGGGTTGATAGTACCCATGTGGTTGCGCCACAGGATGTGTATACCGTTCTGGTTTCAAACAGCCTAAACGAGTCTTCGGTTCTCTGAAAAATCAATGTATAATAATCCGTTCAAATGACGCGTTTATAGGTTTGAGTGTGGGACTGGCTTATTGACCTATGCACCTAACTCCCAACCGACAGGTCACGGGTTCAGAACCTGCATTACCTACCGAGGTCTGGGTAACCAGGTAGTATTATTAGCCCTCAACATAGATGTGGCTTACTGCCACCTACAACGTGTACGTGCGGGTTGAGTACATTCCGATTCAATACACGAATCCAGTCACCACATCCCTAGAGCAGCCGTCAGTGGAGGGATAGGATTAGGGAGGGTGTAAATTGGATTGAACCAAATGGTTACCAGACTAAACACCAACAACAAGACTGCCAGCACTGAATAACCTAGTTACGTTAACTATCAGCAATGCATGAAGAAATGAAATCGAATTGCATATGTCCAATTTTACTATCTAAATGTCTTGGTCCAGATGACGATCGAATGAATCCACGCATTCTCTAGATATAATCATATGACCACGTGTTCACAGAGTGCTAAGGAAATCCTACCACCTACCTTTATGTATCAAAGTATTTCTTTAGGTGCAAGGATGAAAGCGAATTTCCGATATTGAAAAACCCAATCACCGGCTAGCATTCGCGCAATCTCACCCTTCAAGTAACCTATGCTAATATAATATCTTAAAACATTTACTTGAACCGTTCTTCACTGAAGCCTGATAACGTGAACACAAATACTTATTGATTTTATCGAAATATTGGCACCACATTATTGCAAGTAATTTGTTTTTCTACCTTTTCATTCCTACTTTTACAGCTACTTCACTTTACTTTCACAAACGCTTGGTATCCTACTTACTTGTAGAAAAAGATAATAATGTCCAAGTAACCTGACTGAAAAAATCAACGTAAAATCTCGCACACAAGCGCATCAGCACACGTTGACACACTTCATACCTGCTCACAAACAACAGGTGAATAAAATAAGACCGATATCAAAGTAAACAAAGTTGTGTGGGAGAATAAACAATTTGAAGATACAGGTTAGTGCGAATATTCAAGCCTTGGAAGACATCTGTGTCATAGTGACCGATTTTCAGCAATGTCACCAAGAATTCTCAACCACTGATTCCTATCGTCTCGGTGACCCCAGTCAGATCATCTATATCGCCCCGTACGACCAGCAGTCAGAACAACAGTCAGGGACATCATCAACAGGTGTCAAGTTTTGATTTGGCCACTGTGAACCCTCTCCTAGCCTAATCCAGCTTCCCGTAACATAACACGGTGATGTAGGCGATGACTCGGCATGCTCAGCAAATGTTCAAGCCATCACAGTCATCAAGGTTCACGACCTCATCAATCGACTTGCCTGTCTTGCCGATTAGCGTTCGCCTGACGTCAACATTGCTCACATGGTGATCCAGCATACTCGAGCAATGCTACGAAGACATGTGTGATCAAAACCCAGTAATCGCTTCGTGTCACCTACTTTTAGCGACCATGTCTCATAGCCGTATAACAGAAGACAGACTAAAGCGTGTTTCACCTAACACGACTTCACATCCTATCACGACACTAAAAGTTCCAGATTACTACTGGAGCATCATCCTTCATTTGATAGGTCCAAAATGCATGCCAGACAAACATACTCTGATTTCTTCCCAAGGTATCCAGAAGACTCTGCATTTTGTCAGCCTTTTTACCTAACAGGATAATATCATCTGAAAAGTGGGGTGATAGAATGGTCACTGCGACGTTGAAGTTTCCCATCGACAATGAGTCGGACAAAGGCCGACAAAAAAACCAAAAACCGCTGAAGATACGAACATATAACGCTGCTGCTTTCAAATTATAATGTTGTCCAGCGTATTGGAATAAACGTATATCACAGTCACACTAAAACACCAGCAGCAAAAACAAACGGAAATTCAGGCAGGTGTGACCTCAAATTACTCTGGTAACGTATGACCATACAGACCAAAAAGGGGGAAAATCGGATAAAGGGTCAGAGTGGGAAATGAGGGGAAAGCCCGATGCAGATATAAAAAGAGATTCTTAGGGAAACGCAACCCATTTCAACTTTTTACGTTTTCTCCCATCGATTGTCTCTATTGGTAGTGATAGCCCAGCCAGCATAGCTTCTGGCGAACCTTGTAGGTTTTTGGCAAAAAAAAACCGAAAATTTTACTTCGCGTGCAGATGAGGAGATATTCCCCGAAATTTCCAAACATTCTCCCCAAAACTGTCAAAAGTTCCAGAATGCGCCCAAAGTTCACAAAGTGCAAGCACTGCGCCCTAGGTTTTGGAATAACTTATATCTACCGTTCTAAGAAGCCATATTTAGTAATGCTATTACATATATCGTTCACCTTTCATTAGTGCATGTAGTGATGTTACAAAGTATTCATTAATGGATTGGCCATGCTGCCACCACAAAGTATTTCGAGATACCAGTGATTACGCTAGTAAAAATGAAACCCAAATCTAAAGTGTGTTGGATAGCACTCAGCGTTTCCCTTATGACTTACCTGATGTAGCGCACCAAAGAAGTTCAGAGGCTCTTTCCAATACCCAATATCCAATGGGGATAATTAGAGCTTATATCCAATATCTAATATCTTTTTAATGAGCTTGTGTAAACCGGTTGATTTCTTCACGCTCGCTTCTTGGTCTTGCGGGACGGCTCCAGATCTCTGGCGGATTCCGATTCAGTAGGTCCAGCCACTCGTCTGCTATAGCTCTGATTTACAGAACAGGAAGTTAAGTGTTGGTTTGTTTGCCTTGGACCGTAGTGCAGTTGGCTTCTTCAGATGTGGAGTTGCCAGACAGTTGTTGGGACTGGTCGCTACAGAGGGTTGGGGATAGTGAAGAGAAAACCTAGAAAGTGTTTGTGTGAGTAAAAGAAAAGAGGAAAAGTGAACTAATGGAGTAATCTACTTACACCTAAGTAAGGTGAGTAGGGGTGCAAAAGTATGAAGAACTTAGGTAAGCGAGGCTAACTTGTGGCGAGTGGAAGGGGTGAAAAGGGCTTAAATGGTTACAATAGAAAGGAAACTGGTCGTGGCGGCTTGACATCACTTCGTGTTCCAGCTATGCGTGGGTAGACCGTGAGTCTCTGCATGACTGTCCAGCCTCTTCTTGAAGCTTTCAACGGTTGGGGCGGAGACCAACTCTGCTGGTAGTGCGTTCCAGTACCCACAGACTCGGAGGGAGAAGAACTGTGAACGCACATGCGTTTTTGACCTTTGGTGTGCTATTCTGTTGGGGTTGCCTCGAGGATCTCCATAATGGCCACTCGGTAGGACTCCTCTGTTTGGGTGACTCAGGTTACTCATTATTTTGTAAGCCATTATTAAGTCGCCACGTATCCTTCGATAGCTAAGGGAGTGTAGACCTAGGCCTTTGAGTCTATCCTCATATAGTTTTCGTTGCATCCCAACAACCCCTTTTGTGGCTCGCCTCTGGACTTTCTCCAGTAAGTTCGTGCCTCTTTTCAGCTGTGGTGGAGCAGAGACGTTATGAACCTCTAAGTGGGGCCGTATGTAAGTCTTGTAGAGCTTCGGAAAGAGTTCTGGAGTGAGGGCACCCAGTTGTCTGCGCACAAAGCGCAGTACCCCATATGCTTTTGAGACATCACCTGGGTAATTGGAGCTGGTGTCCAGTTCCTCCGTCACCGTTTGACCCAGGTCTTTTTCTACTACGGCATGGGATAGACGTGAACCACAGAGATGGTAGGATGTTTTTTGGGGATCAGGAGTAAGGAAAAACATGGACCGGCACTTATCCAGATTAAATTCCAGTTCGTTATTAGTTCCCCATCCCTCTAGTTTTCTGAGGTCCTTCTGTAATGCCATAGATTCCGCCTAGCAAGTTATTGCCCTCCATAACCTGATATCATCAGCGTATTGGAAAATCGGGGAGCTGATACATTGCGGCAGGTTATTTACGAACAGTAGGAACAACAGTGGGCCCAAGATTGCCCCTTGTGAGACACAGGATGAGGATGTTCTCCAAGTTGAGTAGACTCTGTTGACTTTCTTGCAGAACTCCCTGTTGTCTAAGTAGTTCTGCAGCCACGATAGCACCTGGCTGCGAATACCTAACCCAGCCATCTCATGTATTGGGATGTGGTGTGAGACGGTGTCAAAGGCTTTAGCGAAGTCCAGAAAAATTACGTGGACCGGGACCTTGAGATCCCAGCATGCTGTCCAGTGATCATGGGCCGTCAGGAGGCTGGAGGCACAGGACCTACCCTTCCGGAAGCCACGTTGAGCGTCACTGAGTGCCCGCTTGGTGTCAAGATATTCTCTGATATGGTCGTCTATCACACTTTCCATTACTTTTGATATTACTGGTAGAACGTAAATTATTCAATACTAGATACTTTCAAAAGTTGTGAATTTGACGGTGCTTGTTAACTGGTATCCCTCACGTTAAACCTGTTAAATGAAGATGATATTTATCATTATCTAAACCTTAACACTCTATGTACGCTGTAAAGTAATATTTCCTCGTTCATTTCATAACTAGCAGGACCTTCAGCAGTTTTTAATTGAGTTTAATAACATTCCGTCAGTACCACTCAGGGCCTAAGTCTTGCAGATATTTTGAGATGCATCAACGTGATGAAGCCTGTAAACTGGCTCCTCTCATGTTAAAATCTTTTTTTAACGCTAGAATAAAACATTTATTTATTTATAAGTGCTATGGGCCTACAACGGTTGGGATTCTGCCTGTCTTCTCCTTTGAAGATGGGAGAAGGGATAACCCGTTTCCACTGTCGTGGGAGCTTTCGCTCATCCAAGGAGTGTTGGAGGAGGTCGCAGAGTGGGCCACTTAGGGTACCTGCACATTCTTTCAGCACAGGTGGGCGAATGTCGTCGCATCCTGGGGATTTTTCCGCGCTTAACTTTGAAAGCTTGTCGAGAACAACAGCGCGAGTTATCTGTATTTCGTGTAACTCGGTAGCATCAGGTAACGTTGGGAGCTGTTCGTGCAATTGGTACGCTCACTTTCTCGATGGAATGCTGAGCTGTGCGTCAGATGTGGTGCTCAGCATTCCAGCAATCTCCTGTCCAGAGAGATGTTCTCTCCGTTCGAACCTTTTATGACACATGCTTCCTGGCTTGTCGATTTTCTTTCGCCATGAATCAGTAAAGGTCTTCAGGGTTTACCTCAAGCCTTTCGGCGAGGTTGGACTGGAACGATCTCCTGTCTCCCCGCACCCTTATGTTGCTTCGAATCCGTAGAGTCACGTATGCGCATGGTCGTCCTGTTCTCTGGAGAGTCTCCATGTGTGCCGTGCCCTTCTCTTGGCTTTTAGAAGGCGCTCAGTGCCCCGTTTTACCCATGACGTTCGCTTTCTGGTTGTTGTTGCCGCCAAAGGGACGTTTTGGAGACGGTCGCCTTAATGATATCCTTTACCAGTTTCCAGCGCCGGTCGATCGACAAGGAACACCAATTCACCGGCCGCGAAGCTGTTGAAAGGCTCTTGATCACACCTTCGTAGTTGGCCTTGTTGCAACATAGGCAAGGGCGAGGTCCCTCCCATGGTAGCCCTTCACTAACTACCAAGTCGAACATTACCGTAGCGTGATCGCCACTTCCAAGAGGGGTTTGTACCTGAACGTTTTCAACCAGAAAAGGGATCACTGGTCAGTGGGTAATCCAGTTTAGATGGTTTGCCATCTGACCCCCAGCGGGTGTCGTCGCTGATTTTTTCCTGCAGTCCAGCCATTTGGATGGCGTTTAGCAGGTTACAGTCGAACTTCCGGCTCGGAGTAGTGCCACCTTGCTCTGGGTTGAGATTCGGACCGTTGAAGTCGCCAGCTATTAAAATCTGGTCGTACCCTATAGTTGACACTGTGGATATTGCTTCGTGTAGTTTTTGGTTGTGTTCCAAGTTGCTATTAGGGGACCTATAGATCCCTCCAACTAGGAATTTGGTGTGTTTGACCGTGAAGTGGAACCAGATAGAGCCTGGAAGCTCTGTCAACGCCGCGTCAGTGGTTTGTTTACTTCTGAACCACTTGTTCACGTATAGTGCAACCCCCCCTCCGTCCCTATGTTCTCTGTCTCTCCTGAACAGAATCATATCATCTTTGTTAACTTCGGTGTCAATTATGTCTGGTGACAACCACGTTTCTGTCACGGTCGTGATTTTTGGGGCGAGGTCTAGGCAGAGGGATCGGAGCTCTGGCATTTCACTTCGGAGTCCTCTCACGTTGCTGTAGAGACACTTGGAGGTGTTTCTCGTAGCGTGAGATGTCTCTGAGTTAACTAGCTTAGAAAACTGAAGTTTCCGGTCTCTCACATCTGATTCTTATAGCTTAGTTCGAGTTGTTCGGCTTGCTCGTGGGATGGTGAAGGAAATAATTTCTGCCCTCTGGCTTTTGGCTTCAGTGAGGTGGATGCTTTGTGGTTTAGTAAGTTGCGATTTGTAGAGTGACTGGGGAGCCACTGATTGTTAGAGCGATCAGAAGTCTGTTGTGACTACTGTCTATGTGGGTGCCTGAAGGGTAATTGCAAGACGGTGAGAGAAAAAGTATGTGCGAATCACTAGAAAGGCAAAGGTAGATAGCATAGGTCTATTTTCTAGAGAAAAGTTAGTAGGTGTATTAAGCAGGTGGTGAGTGATAGGTGGAAGGGGAATGAGGGTGGGCTAGTGAGGTTAATGACTCCTTGAGTTGTCCCTTGTCAAATCATGCGAAGTGACATAACCGTCTAGCCGTCTTTTAAATTATTCTACTGAAGGGGCTACGACTATATCCCGCTGTAGGTCATTGCATAAAGTACATACTCTCCGGGAGAAAAAGTTTGACCTCAACGTGGTGTTAGCTCCTTGATTTGCTTTCCTAATTGAGCTTCCTCGTGATTACCTCTCTGCTACGGTAGAGGAGAAGTTGGTTGCATGATTTGTCTGATGGATGATCTTGTTGGCCATGATAAGGTCATCCCTCTTCTGCGATAACCCAAGGTTTGGAAGTTTTAGTCTTTCAAAGTATGCCTCCCCTAGCCCCGTAACTGACTTTGTTGGAGATCTCTGTACTTTTTCAGGAAGATTAGAGTCTGCCCTGAGTGTCAGGGGAACCACCTTATTGAAGATTTCTAGGTGCCACCGCGAGTAGGATTTGAAAACTGTGGGGAAGAGTCCGGGGGTGAGAGCACCAGGCTGTCTCCACAGGAAGTCCAAAATGGAGTTCGCTCTGGCTTCCGCGTCTTGGTCGTCAGAGCTGGCGTTCGGGGTGTCTGAGAATTTCAGCCCCAAATCTTTCTGCGTGGATACTCTGGTGACAGCACGGTTGCTTAACATGTACTGGAAGTCGGCCGTCTTTGCTTCATAATTACCGAAGTGCATTGTTTTTTGCTTTTCCAGGTCGAAGCTCAAGATATTTTCCGGTGACCGCAGTTCAACTTGTGGAAGGTCATTTTGTACTGTGTTCAGTCGGCCTCTTCATATACTACCCTCCAAATTTCAATGTCATCGGCGAAGAAGAAGATGGGTGAGGTTTTGTGCGGGGGGCAAGCAGGAGGAACAGAAGTCGTTCTAGAATTGTTCCTTGGGATACTCCCGACATCGCTGTTCCCCACTCCGACTGTATTCTGTTA